CGGGGGAACACACCAAAGAAGTGCCAACGTGTGCAGCCGACAGTAGCCAGGGCCTGGCGGGTGGACAAGGGGGTCTCTGTGCCAGGCTGATGGAAAGCCACTGGAGGGTTCTCAACCAGGGGCCCGTGATCTGTCTCCCACTGGGAAGAGTCATTGTGGCTGCAGCGTAGAGAAATAATGGGGTGAGCGGGACCAGCTAAGAGGTGTCTGCGGGGACGCCTCCAGTGGCTTCGTCTGGCACAGAGACGGAGAGGAGGGTGGCTCCAGGTCATTCGAGGTAGGGCCATTGGCCCGCTTTGGACTGGGGGCCGGGCGAGTGGTCCCATGCATGTGAGGACGGCTCCCGGGTTTCTGGCCTCAGCTGCCAGGTGGGTGGAGACACCTTTTATGCAGCCTGTGCCCTGAAATACGCGGCAGTGAGGCTTAGACGGTGCCTGACGGGCTTGTCCGTGGTCGTGTCCCACCTGGGGTGGTGCTGCAGACTAATGTCTGTCCTGGGCTCCGCGGCGGGGGCGGTCCCCTGGCCTGCGAGCCTGCTTGTCGCTGCCCACCCAGGGAGGGCATCTGCTCCATGTGCCTCGGGGGGGTCTTTATTCAGACACCCAGGGACGCTGCTGTGGGCCCGGACCACGGGATGGGGGGTGGGTCTTGTTAGGATTTTTCAGAAGCTCGTTTGCTTTCCTCTTTGTTCCAGAGTTAGGCAGGGTGGGCGGAGGGTGGAGGAGGGTACGGGATGAGGAAGAGGGCTCGTGAGGACTGGGCGCGGCTCCAGAGGAGGGACCTGATCCTGGAGAGGGCTGGGGTCCAGCCTGTGGGGGACACAGGGAGGAGCCCTGGGCCTTGGGCAGAGCACCACTCCCAGGGGAACGGGAAGAGGCAGAGGTTGCTACCCGCCCCCCAGCTCTGAAGCTGACGGTAGAGGTGGACGCAGGCAGGGTGCTGTCCAACGGACCCTCCGGTGGGCACGAAAGTGGCAGGACCTACAGAGGCTCCTGGGGGGCAGAGTCTCAGGGTGGGCTCTGGCCTGGGCACCCACTCCCCACTGCAGGGGCGGCCCGTCTCGGTGGTTTGGGGCTGAAGGTTTTCAGGACAGTGAAACCCTCCTTAAGCGGTGAAAATACCCACAGCTGGCCCCTTCTCCACACAACTGCTCAAGTCCACCAGTTTCGGGTCTTCAGCAGCTGGGATGCCGGTGCTGCACGGGCCCCTGGTTGGCCCCACGCCCGGACGTCCGTGTGTGGGTCCTTGAGCCACCATGCGGGCCTTCCTCACTCGCCTGCGGCCCCTGCTTTGTCCCCTAGCCCCTCATTCCCACCACATGTCACAAACGTCCTCAGACTGCAGGGTTTGTGGGTGTGAGTGAGCGCCAGCTGGGACCCCTGCAGGGTGGCCTGAGGGAAGGGGCCCCTCCAAGACAGGGCCAGCATCCTGGTTATGGGATAGAGAAAGGAAGAAGTTCCTGCAAAGAACCGTGTCTCCCGGTCGGGTCCTCCTGACTCCAGGCGATAAATCAGAAAGTCCTGAGCCTGGTCCCTCCTCAACTGCTGTGTGACCTGGAGCTGTGTGCTGCATGTCTCTGAGCCCTGGCTTCCTCATCAGGGCTGGTCCAGGGGCTGCTTGGACCCGTGTGCCTGGCCAGCATCCCTCCCTCAGTCTCCCACCATCTGAGATTCACTCCCTGCTCCTGGCGGGGACGCTGACAGCTATACATAAACTTGCTGGACCCGTGGGTCATGCTGGGCTCTGGGGTGCTTGGCCGGGGGTTCAGGCCACTGTTCAGAGGGTCCATTCACCCAGCAAGCACCCCTGAAGCCTTTAGACCCAGGACCTGGCCGCTGGGGTCACGAGGACAGAGGCACAGCCCACCTGCCCTGGCCTTCCCCTCCCTGTGTAGGACACGAGGGTGGTGGCTGCAGGCCAAGAAAATTGATGCTGAAGCCCTCAGGAGGCCCCCAGCCCAGCCCAGTGGGGGTCCTCGCCAGCACAAGGCTGGGACTGGACCTGCCCTTCCCACCTGGAGCCCCTGCCTCCCGGGCCAGCAGCCACCTCCTCCACAGTGCCTGGTGCTGGGAGGGTGGGGCTCAGAGCCCTAGGGCACCCCAAGGCCGTGCGTTCAGGTGTCAACACACCTGCCCTCAGCGTGGCTGGGGGCACCCCCGGGGCCCACCTGGGGGTGGGGTGTGGGGAGAGCGTCTGGGAGCGGGGAGTCTCCTCTGGAGAAGGTGGAGCAGACCAGCAGCTCGCAGCCCTGAGCCCCTGCCCGGACCCTCCCTCCTTCCCCTCCCCGAGCCCGGGGGCCTGGGCTGGTCTTGGCCCTTCTGAAGGTGAGACAGCCCGGTCCACCATTAGGGTCTTTAGCTGTGGGCTGCCCCTTCCTCCTTTCCCTGTTTCCCCCAGAAAATGCCCTGGAACATTCCTTCATAGCCCCTTGAAGTGATTTGGGGGTTCTGTCCCACCCAAACTGTGGGACAAAGCTGGGTGGGACAAGGCTGAACTGTGTGGGGAGGGCTCAGGCTCCGGTGGGGGTGGGGCGGGTGTGACCCAGGACAGAGCAGAGCTGGGCCAGAGGCCCCCCCAGGGGCCCCCAAGCGCTTACAGGGCTATGGTTTGGGGCAGAGGTTTCCTGACTGCGTTGAGGGTTTTTCCGAGTCCTGTCCAGGCCTGAGGCCTCACCTTAGGGGGAGACTCTATGGAGGGGGTCCCCAGGGATTTTGTGTCCTGGTGGTGGGCTGGGAGTGCCCCCAGGCTCCTGCCCCCGCTCAAGTGTCTTCTCCCTCTCTCCACAGCCACATGCAGCGCCAGCCTCTGCTTTAACGGTGGCCGCTGTGTGCCCGACTCAGCCCAGCCGTGCCACTGTCCTCGAGGCTTCCAGGGTCCCCGCTGTCAGCACGGTGAGTGGAGCCCCTTCCAGGCACGAGGCCCCAGCCGTGGGCACAGGCTCTGCCCTGCAGGGAAGTCTCCCCCAGGCGGTGCCCCCCAGGGCCCTCTCTCTGCTCCCTGCAGCCCACCTGCGGTTGTTGGAAGGAGGGGCACCCTGCCACCCCCTTTCTCAGCGGATGCCTCTGCACCTGCGATCCTAGTCCTTAGTGCCCACTGCAAGTGGGGACCGCGGGCGTGGAGGCGGGCGCGTCCCGGGGCTCCCCAAGCTGCACCCCCACCTTGTCAGAGCCTCTCGTGTCCTTCATGTTGAAGGTTGGGGGACATCCGGGGTCCTGCCCAAGGTGACTGGTGGGGTGAACCTCACACATGCAAACTGAAGCCTGACCCACTGACAGTCACACTTCAGACACTGTCGTGTGGGGACGCTGCCTGTGGGGACAGCCTTAAAGCAGGTGCTGGGGTTGGGGGAGGGGGTGATAGAAACTTTATAAAGGAAAGTGCAGACGAATGCATGAGAAGTTGTCCAAAGAACCCCTGCAAACGTTCCTCCTGGCTGCTTGGACTTGGGGGGGAACGCGAGCGCCCCCTGCGGCTTTCTGCTTTGTCCGCAGTTTCCTCCCTGAAGCGTGGCTCCCGGGGTCCTGTTGGAACCGGGCGCAGAGCCAGGGCTGCCGTTCAGATGAAACTCTCTGGACGGCTTCCAGGGCTTTGAACTTGCTTCTGGCGGGCAGCTGGGGGCCTCTTCCAGGTGGACACCGGGCTGTACATCCTGCCATGCGCTTTAAGGCTCTGGATACCCAGCAGGCAACCGGAGGGAAGCCGGGAAACTGCGGAGAATGGAGGCCCCCTGCTTGTAGAGGAGACCCCTGCCCTCTCACCTTTTTCTGTGCCCGCCGAGAAGCTGGCTGAGGGGGGTGCTGGTCCCGGAGTTCTGAGCTGGGTGCCGAGACTCAGGGGCGCTGACGACTGTCTCAGATGGTCGGGCGGCTCCGACGGCTCGTAGGATGCCCGCTGTGGGCCGGAAGGCCCTGCGCCTCCCGGGCTCTGGGCAGCTGCCCGGGCCGTGGAGCGAGGGCCGCGCCTCGCCCCCAGGTGCGCG